CCAGAAACAGAGGACCCTAGGACCATCAAGAGAGGAATGCACAAATAGAATGTGGGGCCTTATCCAGAGAAGCAGCAGCACCAGAGATGGAGACAGAGATGGGGGCATGGAGATGGGGAGCGGCTGAGGACTCTAGATTCATCAACTAAGAAGAGAAGGACTAAGACTGGTGGCCAGGAGCAGACTTGCAGAATGTGCCCTTTGGAGATATAAATTATTATATATGCTTGAGTGGGTTTTTTTGTTTGTGTGTTTTTAAAAAAGTTACGTGGATAGAGAGAAATACTTTTAACTCATGGTATATGGAGGGGATTATAATCAATGTAATGAAACAAGTTATATGAATGGTTGAATGTGAAACTGATGATGTGCCCTGTAAACTTTCACTCAATCCACAATAAAAACCTTAAATTCAAAACAAAACAAAACAAAACAAAAAACACCAGAGGATTAGCCTCTAGACTTTCAACTGGGTATTTTGAGCTACTTCCTCTTTGCACAGTGGAAAAATTGTTCCCTGTGTGTGCAATGCTGGACCCGTTTGGGGGTGTACTCCCACCCACATGAAGACACCCGGGCTGGGCAGAGAGGGTGACAAGGTGGAGCACAGAAGTTGACAGAAAAATAGCAAAAGAAGAAGAAAATCACACCTCTTTTTCCATAAGTCGCTGAGTGGTTTTTGCTCCCTAGCTGCTGACTGTGGCCCCATCCTCTGACCTCCCAGTAATGATTTTTTTAAAAAGAAATGTTTACATTCCTTTAAGTATCAGTCCAAATTTTGTTGTAGATGACCAAACACTTCTATTTATGTTGTTTAGTGAGTTGTTTTGGTACCCATCTCCCACAAACTTTTTAAAACCCTATTGTCATGAATTATTCATAGGCAGAGCCATGGCTTATTTGCAAATGATTTGCCATACCATCCACTGTCACTTGTCTATTCAACAGAATCATTTCATGTACACACTGAATAGTGTCATCGGCTGTGCATGGATGAACATTCTAATATAACCAGAGTGCAGATAATTTTTGGCTCATGTGTGTGTTTGTGTATGTTTGAACCACCGACCTTGCAGTTCAAACCGACCTTGTAGTCCAGTGCTTATCCTACAGTACAACACCAGGACTCTCTCTCTTTCTAGATAGAGAGATAGGTAGATAGATAGATAGATAGATAGATAGATAGATAGATAGATAGATAGATAGATAGATAGATAGACAATAGAGCAGAAAGCGTCATCTTTTGCCCTCAGAGCAGTTGGTGGGCTTGGACCGCTAACCTTGTAGTTTGCAGTCCAATACTTATCCACTTATCCTACGGAATCACTGTGCATCATATACATATAGTGTGTGTGTGTGTGTGTGTGTGTGTGTGTGTGTGTGTGTGTTTTGTTTTTAAGTACTATTAAGTCAGTGCCAACTCATAACCAGTTTGTATAGAGTTTCCAAGGCTGTAAATTTTTATGAGGGCAGAAAGTTTTATATACGCTTATATATGTTGTTGTTGTTGTTTCGTGAGTCGAGTTGATTCTAACTCATAATGACCGTATATAGGGCTTCTGAGGAGCAGTTTGAGAGTTTGAACTGCCAATCTCGTGGTCCAAACTGACCTTAAGGTCCAGTGCTTATCCAACAGTGCCACACCAGGACTCTACACACACACACACACACACACACACGCATATATAAAGAGAGAATCCTGGTGAGGCGATAATGAAGATTATGCAGGATATTAAGCTGGACTGTAAGGTCAGTTTGAACCACAAGGGTAGCAGTTCAAACCCAACAACCACTCACTGGAAACCCTATACAGGATTGCTTTGAGTCAGAAGCAACTCGATGGCACTTAACAACAACAATGACAAATATACATATGGCACAGTGGCTCTATGGCACTTAACAACAGTGCTGGACTGCGAACTACAAATTTGGTAGTCCAAGCGCACCAATTGTTCTGAGGGAGAAAGATGAAGCTTTCTGCTCCAAAATAGATTTGCAGCCATGGAAATCCTATACAGTGTTGCTGTGAGTCAGACCCAACTTGAAGGTAATTGACATACATCTGCTGTTGTTCTTGTTAAGTGCTGTCGAGTTGATTGCAACTCATAGTAATCCTGTACAGGGTTTCCGAGGAGCAGTTGGTGGGTTTGAACTGCTGCCCTTGTGGTCCACAGTCCAGTGCTTATCCTACAGCACCACACCAGGAGTCCTAATATATATATATATATAGAGAGAGAGAGAGAGAGAGAGAGGGAGAGAGAGTCGTGGTGTGGCACTATAAGATAAGCACTGGACTGTGGACCACAAGGGCAGCAGTTCAAACCCACCAGCCATTCCTTGGAAACCCTATGAGTCAGAACCAATTCTGTGGCTTTTAACAATATATCTATGTGTAAATGGAGTTCTGGTGTGGAGCTGCAGGATAATGTGCTGGACTGCAAAGTCTGAATCTCAAGATTGGTGGTTCAGTGCGCAGCAGCGTAGGTGGGGCTGTGTGCAGACCAGCATGTGGCGCAGGCAAGGACCCTGAAAATAAACAGCCGCTACCTTGCGAGCCGCCTTCCCAGGGTCTGCGTCCGAGTCTCCGACGCTGCAGACCAACTCAGGCGCCGAAGAAGACCTAACTGCAGCCATGAACAGCAATGGGTGCTTCAAGTGTGGGCGATCTGGTCACTGGGTCCGGGAATGCCCTACTGGAGGAGGCCGTGGTCGTGGAATGAGAAGCCGTGGCAGAGATGGTTTTACCTCGGATAGAGACATCTGTTATCGATGTGGTGAGTCTGGTCATCTTGCCAAGGACTGTGATCTTCAGGAGGATGCCTGCTATAACTGCGGTAGAGGTGGTCCTATTGCCAAGGACTGCAAGGAGCCCAAGAGAGAGCGAGAGCAGTGTTGCTACAACTGTGGCAAACCAGGCCATCTGGCTCATGACTGTGACCACGCTGATAAGCAGAAGTGCTATTCTTGTGGAGAATTTGGACACATTCAGAAAGACTGCACCAAAGTAAAGTGTTATAGGTGTGGTGAAACTGGTCATGTAGCCATCAACTGCAGCAAGACAAGTGAAGTCAACTGCTACCGCTGTGGCAAGTCAGGGCACCTTGCACGGGAATGCACAATTGAGGCTACAGCTTAATTCTTTTCCTTTGTCACCCCTCCTTTTTCTGATTGATGGTTGTATTCTTTTCTCTGAATCCTCTTCACTGGCCAAAGGTTGGCAGATAGAGGCTACTCCCAGGCCAGTGAGCTTTACTTGCCGTGTAAAAAGAGGAAAGGGGTGGAAAAAAAAAATCGACTTTCTGCATTTAACTACAAAAAAAAGTTTATGTTTAGTTTGGTAGAGGTGTTATGTATAATGCTTTGTTAAAGAACCCCCTTTCCGTGCCACTGGTGAATAAGGGATTAATGAATGGGAAGAGTCAGACCATTAAGCCCGTTCTGGGTTTCTTGAAACGATCCCATGTAGGAGGTAAAACAATTCTGGAAGTGTCTATGAACTTTTGTAAGTAACTTTAATTTTAGCATAATGATGGTCTTGGATTGTCTGACCTCAGTAGCTATTCAATAACATCAAGTAACATCTGTATCAGGCCCTACATAGAACATACAGTTGAGTGGGAGTAAACAAAGACAAACATGCGTGTTAATGACTATGAGAGAGAAATACCAGGATAAAAGTCTAAAAAG